ATTTGCTTGGTAAATATTTTTCAATTTTTTTTTTACAATATATGTATGCACATACTTACATATACATATAGCATTCATGCATTTTGTGGATTATACAAAATTCTTTCACGTTCGAGTCTGCCATTCAGTTTTTCAATAATTTTGATTGCCTTTTTGTTGCTTTGCATTTTGCCAAAACATAAATTGAGTTATTCATTTCTAAATTCAAAAAATATAAAAATTTACTTTTTGCAATAAAAATGCTGAAATTCTCATTGTTGATTGACGGCAAATATTTTGGTGTTTTATTTATTCTAAAACTGCATGTATATATGTTTGTACAAATATTAATTGAAATGGTGGTTAAAATGCAGTTGAGGGAGTTCAAAATAGATAAGCGTAGATTTTAAGCTTCCAAAACCTTTATTTTTTACTCCTGAGAGTTTTGCAAAGGAAAAAATATCTATAATATAAAAATGAATCGCAAAATGTGTTAGCAAGCGCATAACTCAACAACGCCTGCACCAATTGCCGGGGGAAAAAAAAAAAATTAAATAAAATAAAATAAAATAAAATAAAATAAAATAAAATAAAATAAAATAAAATAAAATAAACTAATATAAAAAAAATAAAATAAAATAAACCCTTATTTAATTGCTAAGCAACTAAAGGTAAACCAGAAGACCGTTTGAAACCATTCACAAAATCTTGGATTAAAAAAAAAGGTCGATGATTGGGTGCCACACGAACTAACGCAAAAAAACATGATTGACCGAATTTCCATCTGCGAATCGCTGCTGAATCGCAGCAAAATCGACACGTTTAAGAAGCGAATTGTGACTGGCGGTGAAAAGTGGATAATGTATGACAACGTCAAGCGGAAATAGTGGCTGTCGAAACTCGGTGATTCGGCGGAAATGGTGGGCTAGACAGTATTGACGGTCAGTAAGATTTTGCTGTGTGTTTGGTGGGGTTTGGCAAGGAATCATCTACTACGAGCTGCTCCCCTATGGCCAAACGCTCAATTCGGATCTCTACTGCCAACATATGGACCGCTTGAAGGCAGCACTCATCCAGAAGAGGTCATCTTTGATCAACAGAGACCGAATTGTGTTCCATCAGGACAACGCCAGATCACACACGTCTTGGGTGACGCGTCAGAAGCTCCAGGAGCTCGAATAGGAGGTCTTAATGCACCCTTCTACGAGAGGGGTATAATGAAGTTGACATCTCGTCTCGTTTTCTTGAATCTTTTGCTGAATGGAAGAAAGTATTGATTGAGAATTTTATCAATGGAAGTTCGATAATTTCACGATAATAATAGTAAGTGTCCAAAGCACAGCTGAAATATAAATTATTATTTAAATTAATATCTACTTCCTCGTCACAGTAAAGAATACTTTTTTATACACATATGTATATGTATTGGTGTGTTACCGAAAGGTCAAAAGGCATTCACTTCAATTAATTCAATTACCGTGCAAACTCTATAGAATTATCGCTATTGAAAATGCAAACGCCAATATTTAATAAAAGGTTGTAAGTCACGTTCACTCGTTATTATTATTAAAATTAAGTACAAAAGTACATAGGTATGTAAGTGCGTGCTTAAATATATGTTTAGAAGTTAAGTATATTAACGGTTATAAAGGAAGGTATTTAACATACATTTAAATGACTTTTAACACTTTAAATGCAAATATGATATTGAACAAATGTTGCCTCGTTGAAATTCCAGTTAATTGGCTGGTTAGTGCATATAAAATGAATGAGTGTACAAATTGTAGTGTACGAGTATGGTCAATGCGAGAATGCCACCTAGAAATAGATACAGGTGCACGCTAGCAAGTAAATTAATTTGTTTGAGTAGGTGTGTGTTTGCGTGTGTATGTGTGTGTGGTTGTAATAGACAATAATTGTAAAGTACATAAGAAGAAGTACTATATATTTACATACTTATAATCACAGCCTACCATAATTATAGACTGTTGTGCACCAGACGGACAAGATTGCACAGAGTAGCAGGGGTTCTTTCGCTGGGTGGCCCAAAGAAAAAAATTAACAGTAAAAAATTGTATTAATATTTTTTTTAACTTTTTCAGTACATAGATTTTTCAGGTATCAAACGCTATGCGGAATATGTGGAAACAAACTTCCATATGAAGGCAAATAGCCTTTCCCACATGAGAATGGTGCCATGAGGAGAGGGACTTTTCTAAGGGTTACACTGTTATTCTAAGGAAACACAACTACTTCCTAATTCAGTTTGTAATACGTTTTCATGGCCAATGGGTAGTTTGCACACAAGGTTATTGTTCGAGCTCCGAAAGTAACGTCAACTTGCTGACGGAAAGTGCGTTGATTAAGTCGAAAGCAGCTCCCTCAAAACCTCTTCAGCCTTCGAGATGACGTGAAAAGGTCTCTTCTTGTAGGGAAATTAAAAGTTGGTTTAAGAGAGGCCTGCATATGGCATAGAATGGCAAGGTATAGGAGCTCACAACAAACCTAAACGGGCAATCTACTGCTAACAAGAAAGCAGAATCAAGCGGCTCAAATCAGGAGCCTCATATTATAAAACCATTAAGCCTCCCAAAAATTTTGCAGAGACTAGGCGACATACCAACTAACAGAGGAACAGAAGTTTAGCCTCAAATGAGCTAAAGATACTATCAATATTAGACAGAAGCTAAACGCAAGAGAAGTCAACAGAAACCCGCAACCCTCTTCCACATTGAAAATACCTGGATCTTAAGTTAGACCTTTTGGCGTGGTCACCAAAGAGCACTCTATGCTGGGGGTTATAGACTGGAGGCCTCTCGTTAGGTACATCCTCCAGATAACCGGAAAACCGTAATGATGGGTTGCTGTAGGGTACACAACCCTAACATCGCTAGAACTGGTTGCGGACTGGAAGAAGAGGAAGATAATTTTACAGTGTTTGATCGTTTTTTGAAATAAATGATCAGACGTTTATTTCAATGAAAACAATATCAGCCAAATGGTTGCCACGGCAACACTTACAGAACCGTGTTCTCTTTATGAAATTTTCCATCGCCAAATCGCATAGTGGCTCCTGTATGCCCTCAATAGCTCGACGAATTCCATCTGTGATGTCTTGAAACGACATTGGCTTATTGGCGTAGACTTTATATTTCACGGAGCCCCAAAAAAAGAAACCGCAAGGTGTTAAATCACAAAAGGGCTAATTGCCATCCCCTCTGCGAGAGTTAACTCGGATCGATGTTTTCACTGTTTTTGAAAGTAATCGTTTTCCAAATCAATGACAGCCAATTTCGGTCATAAAAAAATCATTAATCATCTTTCGATCACCGTTCAACGTAACTTTTGTTTCGAAAATGCAAGGTCCAAGGACGTTGCCGTACCATAAACCTACCAAACAGTCACACGTTGAGAGTTGAAAGAAGTTTCAACAATAAATCTTGGGTTTTCCGAGTCCAAGTTGCGACAGTTTTGCTTATTGACGTAGAAAACGAGATGTAAATGGGCCTCATTAGTCAAAATGATTTCTCGATGGGATTCCGGAAAATTTTCATATATTGCAAGATCCCAATCAGCATCAGATCGGCCGGCTTGAGTTCTTGTGTTAAGTGGTGAATATGATATAGGAATGTTTCTTAATTGTATCTTAGATATTTTATATCCTAGATATTTTATAGGGAAATGAGCCATCGTAGTCTCTCTCGCGAGGGCTGTTTGGGTAAGCTTGTCGGAGATGCATCCATGACTGTAGCTCACGCAGATTACACTTCGATCATCGTTAGCTGCATGTAAAAGGTCACTGATCGCGCAAAGAAATTGTGTTGACTCCCAATAAAGTACTTTTATGCTCGAGAAAGTACTAATAGTCGGATTGGTAGAACATAAAGCTTGGAGAGACATACTACAGCTGAATTGTCAAAGCTGTGGAGTAGACGCTATAACAGCACTGTACTAAAAAGTTTACTTCAAGATGTAGCATGATGCCATGGCTGCCGTACCTCTTTCGATTCGTAGTACTTCACTACCTCCATGTGAGGACGTACAAGAAATTAAAATAGAATTTAGAATAGACCAATAACTACAGTTTCTGCCTAACCATAAATGTCTCATCAGGATCCCAACTGCCTTTGGAATCTCCATCATTCTTATAGAATATATGCGATACGTCCTACATTACCCAAAAACTACTGTAGGGAATATATTTGCGGTAACAACAACAATATAGAGGAGTATAAGTGATTGTAATTCTTGCTTATCCTGATTTTCTGAAGCCTGCAATGCTACTGTTTTCTTAGCCAAACAGCCGACAGTTCTGGTACTATGTTAAATCAAGGATGTGAGGAGTTATGTGCAGGGCTTTAGTTCGGAGTGATGCTAAGCTCATCCCCCATACATTTAATATTTTTTTGGGAACTTGCCTTAAATGTCTGTGCGTTTCAAATATAGAAAAGAACTTTCGGGTTCTTCAGACTTATATACTCCAAAAAAAACCGTAATAGGCTCAACTAGTTTAGTAAGCTTGTAAGTGCTCACTATTTGGCTACGATGTATGCCACGATCTGCCGCAAAGATTATGTTGCCGCTGTGAATTCACCCACATTAAAGACACCTCACTGGGCACATTAAAGTGTTGTATAACAGATTTCCTCCCGCATAAAAGCCATAAACCGTTTACTGACCTACACTTAAGGCCGTCAATGCTGCTCATTTCAGCTTCTCAACAAACCCATTAAGCAAACAACAACATTCATCAATGAAAATGTGAAAAGGAGCACAATATAAGGGCAGCCAGTAGCAGGAGTAGGGAACAAGCGACATCAACATTCAATCAATGCGAACATAATAATACAATAAATATGCCGTTGACATGCCAGGATAATGGCATATTAATGCAAAAAATACAAAAATGCCGGAGTAGGAGCGCCACAAATATTAAAATAAATCAACGTACCAACCGCCAAAGGCGTATAAATACGAGTTGACCGCGCGACCCATGGGAGAGTAGTGCTAGGCAACGCACATAGCGCGTATCCTGCGTACGCAACGGCGGCTTCGGGAACAAAGTGATTGAAATAGCGGATATGACTTCGAGATATTGCACGTCAACAACAACCTGTGCACACTTGCCACGGCTCGCACTGGCACTGGTGCTCTTAACGCTGAGCTCTCTGGAAGGACATGTGTCAGCGCTGCGTTACGCACAAGGTACAGGCGATGAAAATTGCGAAACATTAAAATCGGAAATTCATCTGATCAAGGAGGAGTTCGATGAGCTCGGTCGTATGCAGCGCACCTGTAATGCAGATGTGATAGTGAACAAGTGTGAGGGGCTATGCAATAGCCAAGTGCAGCCGTCCGTCATAACGCCAACGGGCTTTCTCAAGGTGAGTGGTGAAGGGGGGAGGGTGTGTGTGTGTGAAAAAGAATATTACACTTATGCTGTGCTGTGTCATGCGACATTTATAAATTAATTTATCAAAATTTCTCTGCTCATCATACTCACCATCCTTTTTACCCATTTGCATATGTCGCTGCTGCACTTTGTCATTGCAGGAGTGCTACTGTTGCCGCGAAAGCTTTCTCAAGGAGAAAATAATCACTTTGACGCATTGCTACGATCCGGATGGCACCCGGCTGTCCACACCCGAAATGGCAACCATGGATATACGGCTGCGTGAGCCGACCGACTGCAAGTGCTTCAAATGTGGCGACTTCAGCAGATAAGCGTTGAAAGCGACAACAACAAACAACAATAAACAACAACTTTGCTGAAAATCGCATACATACATACTAACATGCATACATACATACAAATAAATTAATGTACCACCACTGCCTACCTAAAGCGCGTCAAATAAGTAAATAAAAAAATAAAAGAAGTGAAAAAAGTAAAAAAAGGAAAAAAAGTGAAAAAAGTAGAAAAAGTAGAAAAAGTAAAAAAGTAGCAAAAGTGAGGAACGCAAAAAAAGGCATAGTATGTGAATAAAATCGTATTTTGTGGAATTTTAAACGAATTTTTTCTGGTCAAATACTTTTTGATGTCGCTGCCACATTTTTGCCTCTCGGGCATAGTACGTCACCGCAACGCGTATGCCGGCAAACACACATACAAATATGTATATGCAAACGTGTGAGCGATTGCAAGTGTAAGCCCGCAGGCCGGTTGACAACGCGCTCTATATGAATGTATGTGCCAATGTGTATATTCCTCCTCCTCCTCCTCCTCCTCCTGCATACCTCCTGCTTTAGCGCGCTCGCTTTGAAGTGGCGCAAGCGGCGGCAGTGCTGTGAAAAAGGCGTAGCAAAATTTTTTTGGCACATATGATTATGCCCGTGGCTGTTTGCTTGACGTTTTCCGCACATTTTCTCTGCATATTTTTGTTGCCAACCGCACACATTTGCCATTTAATCTGTGTTTGTGTGTTTACACACATTTGCGGCACGTATCCTTTGCAGCTCTACTTGCGCATGTCAGCGTCAGTTGTTGACAGTATTTTTTGATTAACATGCCTCAAAGGTATTCATCTCGAGTATCGTATATGCATATGTACTCGCGTATAATTACACACATACAGCTTATGAGGATATATGGACGAGCATACGAGCACAGATTAAACTTCAAAACTTCCTATTTCCTAGGATATTAATGCCTTCTCTTGTCAGCCGGACCCAGTAACCGAGCTAGTTGTCATGAGTAAACGATTTCAATATTTGGAATCGTGCCTCTCACAGTCTTAGATGTAAGTGATTGACTCCTTGAGTAGTCTCGCATAGACTATATAAGGCTGAAGGCACTATTCTGCTACACTGCCTGACCTCTAGCTTATAGAACATCAGCCGGCTCCAATAACCGAGTGAATAGTCATGAGTCGAGGATTGAAATTCTGATTAGTTCAACAGCTTCTAGGTAGCTAAGCCTCTCCGAGTTTTAGGTTGATCTAAATGACTTCTTAGGTAGTCTCACATAGACTATGTAAGGACGTTGTACTGCCACACTTCTTTTTGTTGCTCTACTTTGAAGAACCTCCTGCTTTTAAAATGAATTAATTTGACACTTCGTCCATTGGTCATTAAAGGTTTTGTAACTTTTCCTCCCCAGTAAGTTCAAGCTCTCTCTCTACATTTTCCTGGCACTGGTTGTTCCTTACCAGATTTGAAGGCAAGCGGATCCAACAGGCAGTGACACATTATGAGTCTTACTAGAGTAACATGGAGTCTGAGCTCTGCCACTAGCAAGAGCTTATTGAGTTTCGTATCATATCTTTTGTCGAATCGGTTTTGCCGTTCCCAAACTCCACTTAAGCTGACCGGTAAGTATACAGTAACTATGTTCTAATACAAGAGGACATAAGCTGTCTCTTTGATACGAGTTTAACTTTGCTTTCTTCAATCAGCCTTTTTTATCGCCTCTTAGTTGCCTATATTAAAATACTCCTTCTAAGAACACCTACACCATAGCTTAGCCGCCATAGCATATACATATTTCTGTTAAGAAAAAAACCATGATGAATTGGTAGCTTAAACAACCTTATGACTATTTGGGCCTCATGTAAACTCCCGACTCTACTCCACCTGTCATTTAGGAACTATGTGCTAATACAGCGGGGGCTTGGCTTGAAATCGCCGATCTTTGCTGAAATCATCTTCCCTCTTAAAAGCTATCAGAAGCTTTCCGAAAGTAAGGTCCAGAACCACTTAGTCTATTTGTTTTCTTAGGGCTAACCCCTTACATTACACTGATTCTCAACTGGTAAGTGGAGGCGAGCCGCTATGAGTTTCTTGTTTTTAGCTGCTTTTCGCTGATTATTTATTTGAAATAGCACAAATCATGTAGAAGTCTGAAGACCACCTCCGATCTTTCCGAATACCTTTCTGTATATGCCGCCATTAGCTATACCGAAGCCCATACAAATATATGTGCTTAACAATCGCAATGAGGATCCAGTGCAAGAGGGCAGTCGAGAGACCATAAGTTTAACCAAAATGCGTTTTAGCACTGTTAATTACTCCAGGTAGTCGATTCTCCAGGTATCCTGGGGTTTTCAAACATTTGCCGCTTATTCTAATCGAAATTTAGTGCTACATCAATGGATTAGCGTAAGCGTTCTGTACTATGTGCTTGATCGATAGTCTTTAGTGTACAGAGGACTTGCTGTTTCAACCTAAGATAGAATTACGACTATTACTGCCCAACATGAAACAGGTCTGCTGCTTTCCCTCAAAGTGTTTGCATAGGAACTTTATAACCATGTTTCCATCTTCCCACAGCCTGGCACAGAGAACTCCATAAAAGCCTGGTGGTTTACAACCAGACCTGTATTGCCTACATAACAATTTCTGGAGCCATTATATCTGCCATCTAGCAGGAATGGCATGAAACAAATGCTCCTCATAAAAATCTTTTGGCCGTTCGAAGGCCGCTCAGAATAGAATGCAGGTCCCTCCTTTTGTACAAAAACACCATAAGGCGCCTTTCATAAATTGTGGAACGATCTAGACAGAAAAACGTTTCAGCGGGCACAATGTGCGGATTGAATTATATTAAATATTAGTATTTTATATTTGCATCTGATTCGCACAATTTATTCTTCGCTTTGATTTAGGTAATGGGAAATAGGCTGCAAATTAAGTACCCAGTAATTACTTTCAATTTCTGGCCCATAAGCCGTATTCAAATTTAGACAGTCTTCTCACCGTGGTTTCCCTGAAGAAAACTTTCCATAGATTGGTTTATAAACTATCCTCATATTTGTAAGCTCTCAAAGTCCTTAAGATAATGCCACTCCAGAAGTTAAGCCAAGAGCTTCGTTTAACCAATCTTATAACTTTTTGCCTAACTTTAATACTCGTAGATGTAAACTTCAGGTATTCATGTATTCATTCCAAAAAAAAAACATTGAATTTTCTATTCTTTATAACTTTAAGCTCATCTAGAAATATTTTTTTTATTGTGATATAATCATTTTTAGGTATTCTACCTGACTTTCCTACGTGGATTGGAACCCTGTTCTCTCGAGTGAGAGGCCGAGATGCTATATATCGAGTGGTTACTGCCATTTGGAAGGTCAGGTTTTAAACCCTGGTACGAGCAACATCCAGAAGTTATAGAAAATTAATTTCAATAAAAAAATAAGTTGAATTTTCTAACGACCCCAAGCGGTTAAAAAGTACCAAACAAAAAAAACGCTCAGTGATTCCGTAACTATTCCGCAAGCATTAAGTTCTACTGGGTTAATGAGACCTATTCCAGTTTTTGGATTTTATAGCAAATATTTAACATTTAAAAACTTTCACAGCGCTTTTCTTTTGGCTTTTCAAAAAAATTTATAGTTAAAATACTATTATTTATATACAATATAAAGTTTTAAGTCAATGAAATTATTAAATAAAGAAGTCAGACGAAATAGAGTCGCCTTGAAACCAAGTTCGAATTATGGGAATGGGGACACAGATTAACAAAAATTGGTATAATTTGGAGTAAGGTAAAATTCAAAATTTATAAATATTTTTATTTTGGTTTTTTTTTTTTTTTTGAGTACGCTCTATCTATTATTTACATATTGACAACCACTGTCAGTCCTTTCGTTTGATTACCAAATTTTTTTTTGTCCCAAATTTCGATTTTGATCCTTTTGATATAATACACCTGAGTCAGCAATTTTCAAGCAATTCTGATATTCTTTTAAGCCACTGCAGAGAGTTGGTTTTTATCTCCTCAACCGCCATAAGTCGATATCACTTCAGGAGTATTAAATCCTAAGATAAGGCAGAAAGGCGAAGGAGCTTAAATCTGGTGAACACGAGGGAGGAGGTATGACCACAGTATTATTTTTGAACAAAATATTGCGAAAAAGCGTAGCGTAACGAGTGAATAATATACTTTCTCAATATCATAACCGTCATAAAAACTCAAGCTAATACCGTTATCAACTGTAAGACCTCTTGGTTAGAACTACTGATGCATGCTGTCATCAAAATAGAAGAAAATATAAAAGCAGTGAACAGAACTTTCACTTTTGATTGAAGTTGGATAGGTTTTTCTCTGTTTTGGTCCTTCTGAGCTCTTCTAATGTATCTGCTTTGTACAGATCTCGTAATAATATGCTCTTCATTCTTATTCAATTAAGATCTTCTTCAGCAAATCAGGAACATTATTGACTTCGTTTAACAATTTCTGAGAGATCATCTGGCGGGGGTTTATTTTGGTTATTTTTGATTAAAATACTACAATTTCGGAACGAGCTTTGATGTCATACTATTGATATGAACACACCATTAGGCCATCATTCTCAGCAACTTTCCTTCACTTCACCAAAATTATTCATCAGCGATTTTTGGTGTGCTGGAGTGGCCACGCCGAGCTTTATCATACACATCTTTGGCACCTTCTGTATTTTTTTTTTTTTTATTTCTTTTCACTTTTGATATTTTAGTTGTTTCTGAGCAAAAAATGTACTTTTATGCTTCTCAAAACAAGAAATTATGGTGCAACCGTGGACTTACGTTCGAAAGGAGTATACTGATGAAAATATAGATAATCGATTGTACGTAGTCAGTGAAGGGAATAATATATAGTCAACATTTATTTTTAAATGGATCGCGAAGTACAATTCCACATTGCTACTATCGATTGAGATCACCCGCTAGCAGCAGCTGCAGAGTCGAAAAATTTGAGGAAACACTTTAGTTTAAAAAAGCTTTGTTTTACAAGGATTGTCTTAAAATGATGCCAAAAAAGACCTTCCTTCGATGCCTTCAGAACTCTACATTGTGGTATTAGTA